GTTCGTTTGTAAGTAAGGTTTGGAGACTACCAGTAGATTTAGAATTTGGACTATGTTTACCTTATTTCGTTTAAGGTGTTGAAGGAAGAGTAGTTGGATTTTTCCACACGGATACGTCAACTTGCATTTCACATAGACTCGTTTCCCAAAAGGTATTTTCATCCATGGTTTAGTTTAATTATCACTAAAATCGTTTAGTTTGGTAAGTCTATAAGAATACACGATTTAGTTCATAAAGCTTGAACAAGTTACAGGTTTAAACATATAATTATAAATGACCTTTACTTAATTTCACTCAATTGCAAAGTTATCTCACGATCCAAAAATTCGGGATATCTAAAGCCTTACCTAACCTTTATTTATTTCTTTTATTTTCGCAACGAAATAATATTGCTACATCAAATGTCTGATTATCCTATCGTATTTATTTTATCTTAATTTTTCCTCTTCTTTATAGGACAAAGAAATACAGGCACTTAAGAAAGAACTTCAGGAAGCAAAGCATAAGACTTATTTGGCTTCATCCCAAGAAAAAAATGGAGTAATCTTCATCATTAATTTCGTTCTATCCTTGTTTTACCTTAGATTTTATCCTTTATTATTATATTTCCGATTTTAGCTCTCATTTTGGCACCCCTTGATTTATTTTCCACTATTTACTTTCTGCATTTATATTTTCTATCTCTGTTTTCTTCCTGTCTTTTATTGAGGTTAACAGAACAATATTCACAAAAAATCGTCGATGAGTCCCTCTGTCTGCACTATATAGATTTTGTTTGACCTTATTACTGTAACTTAACCTTACTTCTGGTTAAACACCAGAGAATGCATCTAATACTCTGCACGTTATTATAATCATCGTTATTTCCTCGTCATCTATTTAACTGATTTCATCTTTCAGTGTTTTATTGTTATTTAAGTAGTATATTCCTTACAGAAAGTAATCTGATTAGGGAACCATTTAATAGCCTTAAGATTTTTCCTTTATCAAATATAGGTTTTCACTGTTGTCGCAGGTCTGTTTTACTAAATTCCTTATTTATTCCGTGAGAACATTAGGAATCAAGGTAGCACATTTTCCTTATTTTTATTTACCTAATTTCGATTTTATAATTCCTATACATTAATGTCAAAATTCGTTTTCTATTCTCCTATGCTACGCAATTTTTACCTTCTGTTATTCTGTCACCATTGTTCTGACTTATATTTCCATGATTATTACTAAAATTTAATTTTTTTACTTTAAATGTAAAGATTTCTTCAGAAACGCAAGCACTTTTCGAACAAAGAATACTTAATTTACAGTCGGAGCTCGACGCATGCCTTCAGACTGAGCAGCGAACCATTCGGGGTTTGAGACAGGAGTTCGAATTTGTTAAGAATAAAGTAAACACCTGAACCATAAGACTCTTGAATTTATTTAATCAAGGTTATTGATACTCCTACTCTTACTCTTTCTGTTTCCTAGTATGAATCCAGAATAGCCGCCCTTGAGTTCGACCTTCTAGAAAAGTCTTCCAAATTAGTCAAACTTGAAAATACTAAGGTTCCTGATGACTTTGAGCCCTATGACCTTAATGGTCAACAAATTACTGAGGCCGGAAAAACGAAAAAAATGAAAAGCGGTTCTCAGAAACGAAATCTTACTATTGTGAAACCCAAAGTCAGTTTCAATCTAAACGAGGTAAGTTATCCCTATTCCTTTACAGTGGAAATGCTTTTTAAAATATGTTTTGCTTTTTATATCGATTCATTTTTGCATAGATGCATAAAAGTATTATCTCCTGATCCTCGGTCGCGTAGATCGAAATTATATTGAAAAGGCCAATCTACTGACAAGGCTAAGAACGTAACTCCATTACTGGAATTCATTAAAGTATATACTCTCAGGTTGTTATTAATACGCGAAATCTTGTTTGTGACTCCTAGCATAATGGATTGGTTATTGAAATTTGAGCCTAAATTTTGCTTCTACATCTTTACTTATTGTAGATTTTGTGTCACTTACTACAATTATCTGATGGCCTATCAAAGCAAAAGCCGCATTCTACTCCTAGCTGCTATCACACTTAGTATTTTGTTGCAACTTGCAGCTTTACACACTAGAATGGGAACTAAATTCCTCCAATACTCAATTGATATTTTTGGGATAACTGCTATATATTATTAAGATGCCTCGAGTCTATGTAATTATTTTATAGGGACTTAGTTCCTATGATAACGAATGGGAAATATAAAGAAAGCCTATTTTTTCATTAATTCCTATCTTTCCTTCTACTTTACTTTTTTGTCTAAGCAAGACCAAGAGGGCTTACTCGAATATTCTCGACTTCCATCTTTTAGACTTATGTTATATTAATATTTCCTTCTGTCATTTAGACTAACTTCTGATTACTTCCTCTTTATGTCTTGCTTAATGGCTCAACTTTTATCTTTTATTCCACGGCTCTCATTAGTTCATTTTATCCTAAATTTACTTTTATGACTCATTACTACACAGTTTTAATCTTTACTGTAATTGCAATGCCTATTATTATTTTTTTTCTATTTTCGTTCTTCTCTGTCACATATATACGTTTCATACTGAAGCTCAATGTAGTAGAAGCGTTTACTCAGACAACCGATGCAACTCAGCCTGTCAACCACCGGCCTAATATTTTACTTCAAGTAACTGCATTCTGTCTTAATTTTTTCTGTTTATTATGTTTATATATAGAATTTAGGACGATCATTATTTATTATATATCCTTTTGCTGATTTATATTCAGGGCTATTTATATTATTCCTTCTTTATAAGAGCGCATTTGGTTTATTTTTTATATAATTTTCTTCCCAACATTATCTTATAAAATTGCTTTAATCATCAAATACAATTTATGCTTATCTTGTTACCTGATTTGAATATAGATTTAGCCACTTGGTCCTACTCCGTTTATGTTGCTTTATTCATTTGGATAGTTTCGGCAGAACACTATGATAAGTCGGTATCACATCGAGGAAATCTATTTCATTCTACTGTTCGATCTAACATGTGATGGAAGGGTACTAAGACTTAATAAAATACATATATACGCTGTTATTATCACAATTAATATATAGCCCTCAAAGAGATAAACAAGCTCACAGAGGTAAGAAAAACGGTAATTTGGATAATAGTTCGGACAAGTGGTAATATAATTTTCCCGAGATTATATGTAT